TTGTACGCTCCGCTCTTGAGCTACAGAGTGATGCATCTTACTTGTACAAAATCTTTGTTGGGAATTGCACATGCGCAGTTCCCAGGTAAGGACTACTAGCCAATCAGAAGCAGAGAAGGGCGGGTCGTAAGAAACAAGGTAGTGTGATCCAAATCAAAGCCGCTTCAGACTGCGACCGTAACCTAGCAGATGATATAAGTTACTCTCAAGTCCACAACCACACAACATCATTGTTCTACATCTTACCATCAGGACTAAACGTTGAACTGTTGCCGGTGTTCTGACGATCTATGTAAATGTAAATGCTCCGTACTTGTATAGCACCTTTCTAGTCTTTTCGACCACTCGAAGCGCTTTTACACTACATCTGCATTTACGAGTCACACACATTCATACACTGAGCCTAAGTGCTCAAACGAAACTAACATTCACACTCATTCATACAGTTTGGGGTTCAGTATCTTGCCCAAGGACACTTCGACACGCAACTAGGGGGAGCCAGGGATTGAACCGCCGACCTTCCGATTAACGGTCAACCCGCTCTACCTCCTGAGCCACAGCCGCCAACAGCCGCTACAGTCTATGCCGCCTTGCCAAAAATGCTACCATAGCGCAAATCGATAGACTCGACTCTACTCGGCCCTGCTCCGTTTTCCATTGCAGACAATACCCAGAGACCCAGTACATAGCTTGTCGTCATAACGATGCCACACACAACTGCCGCGACGTAATGTTCAATACGACGTACCCACCAGCGACCCACACAGCTTTCTCTTCATAAATTAAACCGTTTGAACATTACTCAGCATGTAAAGACAGATAAGCGGTATGAAAACCTTCCAGCTGTGTTTTCTCTGCTGTTGTTGCTGCAGCGGTCTGTGTGACGGCGGGAGCAGAGGGCTCTGTGAGCGGGCGACTGGCCGGCCTCACACACTCCTCCCGCGGGTTGGCACAGGCTTCCCCCGCAGCCACTTGCGGAGCTCCTCAACTCCGAAAATATTCAAGCACATTTTTGTTCCGCCATCACTTTTCATAAAACTGTCAATATTGGAAATCTACAGTTGATATCTCACCTCAAAACTTCTCAGAAGTGGATTTAGTGATGAACTTGCTTACGAAAACTGTAAAATATAAAACTTTCTGTTGCTGGCCTCTGTCTGGTGCAGCAATGATGATGCAGTGAATAGTGACGATTCTCTCTGACCAATGAGCAGTCTGTCATGTTTTCACATTATGCCTAGGTACAACATTTCTACAATGGAAACCCAAACAAAGGCGAGTCGAGCCAAAGGGCCTCCGCTCAGACTAGCTTGGTTTATGACGCGTTTTCATTGTGACGTCACAGTGAAGGAAGTGAATGGCTGGACTACAAACGAGCTGTTTTCAAACGGTTCAGAGCAGAGCTTTCTGTGGGAGATGGGAACTCCCTTTGGACTGGACTTTGGGCTTTTTCACTTTGCAAACCTGTTACATGCACAAAAAAGATATATAACTCAATGAAGGAGAGGGGAAAAGCCAAAAGGGATAATACCACCTCTTTAAGATTAATTGTTCCTTTACTTTTGCAAACCTAAGAATGCCGTGTTCTAAGACAAACAGTGATATGTCCTAAGTTGTTTAACACATCTAGATGTGAATACCAGGAAATAAAAGCTGAAATTCTGAACTCTTGTCTACTCATCTTAAACCCAAATGTCTTCATTGCACAACAACAAAACAAAGGAATTTGCCTTACCGTTCCAATACTTTTGGAGGGGAATGTACATTTGTGTTTGCAGGTGTTCCAGTTCCATCGCTTCACAAATGTTGAACCCATGGAACCAATTCTACTGTGAGCTTGAGAGATACACACCACAACTGATTGTTCTGTACAGGCAGAAGGCCAAGACAGCAGAGGCCCTGCACAGATCCTAAGGATTTATGATATTCAGGTGAGTTTAAGATTACCTTTGCTGTAGTAACAATGTTGATCACATAATGTGCAGTCAATACAGATTGGGACCTCTCTACTATAATAGTGAAATTTGATTATGTTATTATCTTGCGATGACTAGGAGGATCTAGCCATCTACTTTCAATTATAATTTCTCATTTGCATTTATTTTTGTAAGTTTTCCAGTACATGATCACTTTAAAAGCCCTTTACAAGCTTATTTTTTAGTTCTAGGGCTGCCCTGAACACACAACACAAGATAGAAAATCCTCAGTTTCACTCAGATTTTATGTGCTGAGCATGACTTTTTATTTTTCTATCTATCCAAGAGACCAACTCCATCCATGAGGCAATGACAGTTGCAGAGACACAAACAAAGAGAGATGTACTATAGGCCTTCTCCACAAGCAGCTCACCTGTGGTTGTTTACACAGAATTGTGGGTAAAATGTTCAAAATGCGAGCTCTGTTTTTTGGGCAGTAAAACATACGGCTGACAATGAAACTCGAAAGCGGACAGATAGCAGCCTGTATGTGTTTGTCGCTGTATGATACAGCAAGAGAGAAACTGAAAAGGGCTAGTGTGTGTGCAGCATTGTGTGGGATAGAACTGTAGGTGCTTGTGCGAATCTCCACTTCCCAAAATTGAAAATTGAATACCAACCCAATGAAGGAATAGTCGAATATTCGGGTCCAGCCCTACTGCACTGGCTTCCAAATCTCTTTCATTGTCATGTTTAAGGTTAAAGTTAGCTTCTATTTCTCACCCATTGTTTGAGTCACTACATTTGTGTAAATTTGACTTGTCTTTAGGTAGATGCAGCTGGATAGAATTGGTGTTATTGCTATCAATATTATTATTATTTTAGAATCGCATTGGTAGAACTGTTACACTATATGGTTTCATGTACTGTAAAAATATTTGTATAATAATCAATATTTTGATTGTCAATCTAGGAACAACATGAGGTACACGTGAAATGCTGTCCGACCCTCTGTACTCGGTGTACTCAGAAATGTCAATATTAACGACAAGTAATATGAAATCTACTATGGGAAACCAACTTGAATGCCTCTTCAAGCAACTGACAAGTTTAAAGAGATTAAAGGATAGGTTTGTGGGGGGGGTTTTGGAGTCTATCTCAAAACAAGGCTAAAAGATGATGTGTACAGTAAAAGGTTATGTTGGCCATTATCATCCCTCATCTCAATTAAGCATCACTTTCATAGGCATGGCCCAATTGTAAGAAATTAGAGATAAATCCAAAATCCTCCTTTCATAAAAAAATGTTTCCCAAACTTCTCAAGCCCTGTGCTTTAATTCTGTGTATTTTTATTTGTAGCATTGTCATTGAACAGGACATACTTTTAGAAAAAAAAATAAGCATATAGTGCTAGCTTTCTTTTATAATAATCCTCGTAATTGGATTTTGTCATTTGCAGTGCAAAGATGAACCAGACATTGCTGACACTCCTTACTGTGGAAACTGGGATGCAGCGGCGCTTTTTCCACAAAACACAGTTTAGCTCAAAGCACTTTGCTCACACCAAAAAATCTCATTAAGAATCTGGAAATAGAGAATGTTCAACCTTATTGCAAAAGAGAATGAAAACATTGATTCTCAAAATTGCTGCTGGTTAATTATCTGATCAAGCAGTTACTTAGTCTATTCAGCTTTATGCAAGTGGTGTCTTATTTTGTCTGTTAAATGTAGAAATGACAGATGTTTAAAGTTTTGATATTGATTGTTTAATGAAGAGAACTGGAATTGTAACAATAGAGTTGTATTCGTATTTTTGGGGAATACTATCTGAAAATGGGCATTTTGTAAATTTTAAGTTGACTAGTAGTAATTTTGTTTGCATTAGTATTTGAGAATTTTTTGAGTATATTTCCCTCAGTGTATAAGTTGTGCACATTCATTTATTGAGTAAGGAATTAGTGGAATTAAATTTTAATTAGCGTCAGTGAATGAATGTAATTTAGTGTACAGAAATTAAAGTTTAAAAAAAAAAAGTATTTAAGTTAAGGTTTACTCAAAAATATTATTACCACTACTTAAAAAGTTTGAGGTAATCAGTTTCCACAAATATTTTGAGTATTCTGAACTTATTCGGGTTTACAGTAGATAGATTACCTTTTACTTGTAAAAGAGTATTTTACAGTGAGGTATTATTACTTTTACTTGAGAGAATTATCTGAATACTTCATCCACCACTTACATGTTAGTACACTTGGAAACCTCTGTTCATGGCAATTGTATGCAGTGTAGGGTGAAGTCAGGTAAAATGGGCAAAATAGAGTTGGAGCTTCATAGAGCTCATTTACAGCCAATCTTAATTACTGATCTTACATTGTTGCTACAACACTAGTTTACATGTAACAATAATTTTGAATGGTCTGAGGTTTCTATGGTGGTCGGGGACAGAGTGTTACACGAAGTATGTCACAGAACTCGTATGGTCAGTGAGCTTGACATATTAAGTTTCACTCATCACTAATAAGGGCAATAAAGCAATAATAAATGAGCTATGAGAAAGCAAAATGTTTCTGAAAGATTTTTGACTGGCTCTTTCAATTAAAAAAGTTAAATTTTATAAAGAAACATTGATTTTTGTGAAGACAGGGAACAAGTTACTTGTTTAAGTAAAAAGGGCCACGATTTTCAGCTAAATTGGGCAACGCAGATACAAACTCTTATAGTGTGCAAAACTGGTTCATTGGTCGATATAACTTTATATCATGCAAAACCTAAACAATCTTTTACTTTAAACACAAAACGGTAAAATGGGCCAAAGGGAACCTGCTGATACTAAAACAGAATTTCAAAACAATATTTTATCATTTATAACAAATATTTAAGAGACCCATGCCAAGGGTTAAGGTTAGGGTCAAAAAATATCATTAGCTCTCATGCATACCTTATTTGATGGTCTTATAGTAAGTCATGGCCCACTTTAACTGACTCCACCCTGCTATTCAGTACTGGATCTTGCAGGATCAGTTGAAAATTACAGAAGCAGGTCCATCGTGTGTTTCAGTATACTGCCATCTGTCGGCAGGTGAGAGTATCTGGTAACCAGCTTCATAAGGTGACCTAGGTTCTCTTCTCACACATGCTGACTTTCTCTGCTCTTAAAAAGCAGCCAAATAATGAACCGTCAGAATAATGTTCCGTTCAACCCTTCAGTGATGCCTAAAGGAGCAGCTCCAGTGTACCACCAACAGCAGCCTGGAAGGTAAATTACTGATCTGTGCAGCTGCAACATTTAGCTAATCTTGTGTTGAACGTTCATTTATTTGAGAAAGTTTCAGAAACGCCGAGCAAGGTGCCCGTTGGATTCGTTTTTGACAGTGTTTTTGTTGACTGGATGCTGAGGGTGCATGCCATTAGACTAACCGCTACCCCCAAACATTACCTATAAACTCTAAAGCTAACGTTAAAGGTAATAGCAACCATCTCTAAGCTAGCTAAGTTTGCTTGCCTGATGAAGCACCATTTTGCCTTTGCCCTGCTAACATTAATTCATGTAGCTCTTATTGTTGTATCCATTTGCTTTGTAGTATTGTGCTCATTGCTCACATTTCTTGTTGTGATAAACAGAGTACCCCAGGATTTTAGAGAAGTTATGAAACAAATCTCAATGAAATCAGCAGACAACTCAAACACCAGGACATCTGACATGGCTGCTAAACCAGCACCAGTCCGCAAGCGTGCAGGTAACTTATGTGGACATTAAAGCACATATGTTCATGTATTAAAAGGCCATGCCTGTGTGTTTTCATGAATGTAATTCCTCATAATTCACATAACAATGAACCATTTAGCAAATCATACTGCTGTATTTTGTTTACTGTTTTAGGCATTCCATGATTTCATTAATGTCTGTATGATGTGCATACATTTTTGCAGACAGTAATTCATTACAATAACGTACAGTTTAATCATGTTTATTATTAAAGAGTGGCAAGATGACAATGAGGAGAGACATTAAATAGAGGTCCCCCCACCTGGACTTGAACCAGGAATGTTACAATTTATGGTTGGCACCTTAACCACCCAGTATGTAGCCTATAACTTTTGCAGACTCTTTGAAATCATTCTGCACTGCGTTACCCTGCTAAGACAATGTAACACTGTCCAAAAGTAATGCAGATTTCACTTGATGGATTTCATAAATGAGGCAAGTTTCATGAGTCTGCTGGTTGATTTTCAACAGTGTTTACAGAAAACAGTGGCTACCATTTGAGGAACAAATACAATCATCACTAAAGTAGATCTACAAGTGATAGTACACATTGGTAACAGCAGCAATAAATACCTTTAAGAGCTATTAGTGCGAACGGTATCAGTGGGGTAACTACCAAGGGGAAGAAGAAATGAAATGAAGAGTTAATGAAATAGTTCAATACATACATGAGCATTGTAAAGAGATAGAAGAAGAATCTCTGAATTGTAAGAAATATCATTATTGTGTATTCATTGTAATTTACCTTTTGTATCATACAGGGAAATGTTTTGGTGATAAATGGAAGTCTTCATTCAAACCAATAGGAGAACAAGATGGAAACTCTTCAGACAAAAGCACTGGCAGTCCAGAAAGGTAAGCCAGTCAGTGATGTTTACAGTAAAACAAGTATCAGGTAGAGTGACGCCTCCTGTAGTCACAATCCAGGACGTCCATTTAAGCCTTTAATGTTGTCTTGTGGTGACTTAAATATGCAAGTGGCAGGAAAAATGCAGTGCCTCACTGAGTGGTTAAACTAATGGACAAATTTCACTAAATGTGGTTTAAACTGTGTGTGAACATTCAGTGGTTAGTGGTATCATGTCTTGAGAGATGATCTATATAATAGTAAATTGCATGTAACACACACACTTATACCTCTTCCGTCTCCCTCAGGGTGGAGCTTTATAATCCTTACGAACCTGGCTCATCAGACTCTGAGCTTGAGATGCCAAAAGACAAAGACCACAACTACTCCCCACATGATCAGGATAACAACCTGGGATGCCAGGATGTGTCTCCAAGTGTGGGTTCCAGTTACAGCCGCTGGGATTCGCCTTTCCCTAAGCCGAGGAGCCAGCCCCTCGACAGACTTGACTTTAGCCCTGAAACCAGACCCACTACATCACTTGACCCACCAGGTTATGGCTCCATAAGCAGAACTTTGGACCACAGGGACAACAGCCCTGACAGGCTTATTCACAGCTCCCCCACCCAACGGTTTCCTGCATCTTATGGAGGACAGTGGACCAACAGGGAGGAGAGGATAACAATCCCAGAATACAGGAGAGAGGTATCACCAATGAGATTCAAAGCATGACAGCTGTTGTGTGTGTTTTTTGAATTAAAATATTTATACAGTTTGTGTTCTGTGATTATATTGAATCTTGAGTTGTTGGGCTGTTTGTTGTACTTGATTTTGAATTTGATTTTAAAAAATCACTGTTTCCTTTGTATATGCAGTAATGACAATGATACAGTGATAATTGGTACCAATTAGAGCCTATTCTCTCCTCTGTAGATGAACACTACTGTTAGATTATCCCCACCCAGTTTAGAGCAGGACTATCAACATCAGTTGGGATACGTGCAAACAGGTAAATTGGATTTTTAATTAAGTATGGACAGTTAGATTGCTGGTTTGTCCCATCATTTGAAATAAAAATAGGAGAAACATGATTGCATGTATTAATTTTTTTTAAAATAAGCATCTTTTGACTATTTTTGTAAACTTAAGAATCGACAGTCCAATGGGTTTACTTAACTTTTACCATGACTACATGTATTTCGTTTGAGAGTCTAATTATAATAATAATAATTCTCTATATAATAATGTTCTACAGGACTGGACCAAATCACACCTTCCACAGAGGTGACAAGAAACAGGACCAAAAAAATAATAATGGACAAGTAAGAACAAGGATACTGATGCCAGTTGTTTAGAGATGTTACATGTAGAGTTTTCTTGTTAATTTTAATAGCGTGTTCACATTTTCGTTATGTTTCATATTGTCCTCCGATACAGTTTGACTGCAGGATTAACTTGTGGCACAAATGTAGACCCTCAACCAATACATAAGAAGACGCACTTTGAACAACTTTTCCATGTTTGCACAGGAGCAAAGCCAACTGTTGCTGTAGTTGAACTTACTCAGAAATTCCTGAGGAACTCAGGATGAATTACTAGTATATTGTCAAGAAGAGGTAATCTACATAACTATGTAAACATGTTGCTGTTAGGTTAGTTGTCATTAGCCGTCATCAGCCAAGATGTTACTCTAAGGGCCCAAATTGACTAAACTTGACAACTCTTGTGTAAAGCTACTTTATAGGTCTGTCTAGTTGTAACAAAAAAATGTAAACAGAAAATGTGCGCAAGCTTATGTCACATATTGTGATAGAGTGTAAACACTGCATGTTCAACGAAGGTGAGAGAGAGCGAGCATTGTTAGCAATGTGCAAATTAATAACATTTCATACCAATTGCTTTCCGAATTTGCTTGCTCCGTGTTTTGGTTCTACAACTGTTAGCCACTGTAGTTGCAAAGTGTCAACTAACACTGCAACCAAGCATCACATCTTAGGATGTGAGAGCCCTGTTGTGTCAATAGGACTATTTAATACAGCTTTATAACCTAATATCATCAGCTTGGATGTCTTAACTAAACTCTCTTTTGGCTCTTCTCTGATGGCCACTTGAGGCTTTGATTTAGGCACTTCTACTGTTTAAAGGTCTGCTTTTTAGCTGTTTTATGAGGTTAATATTTTGCAACACCGAATGTCTTCATATTTTTCTTTTAGGAGCCCCATCATTTGTGACCTCTGTGACGTTGAGTTAGCCAATGGTCAGGAGCTGGAGGATCACTTGGATGGCAAGAGTCACTGGGACACCCTGGAGTACATTCAGCAGCAGAATAATTATGATGATGTGGCTATGGCCTTCCTCCAGGTAAGATAATACATAGTTCATCCTATTGACGGTTCCTGGGTTGAATCCCTAGTCTGTGCAGTAGTGTTCTACTGTTGGCCTTTTTCAGTTTCTTGTTTTCAACCTAAATATATCATAGAAACATAAACAAATACTGACACTTTCTTATTTCTATAGGAAGTCATGCTGTATAAAAGCCGTCAGTGTAGCCGAGCGATAGGGGTTAGTGCACTTCAAGGTAAATAGCTTTGAATTGTGAAAATTCAGTTCTCATATTTCATGAATCTTCCATTCCTGACAAACAAAGCCTAAATACAGTCGGATCTTTGTTTTGTCAGCTCTGCAGGAAAATGACCACATGACAAAGATTGAAATGTTCCACTGTACTGCTTGCAAAGCCTTTGTATCCACATCTGCATCCTCTGTGCAGACTCACATTACCTCTCAGGAACACCTCTCCAACACAAAGGTAACACTGCTGTAAAATAGCACAACATTGATCATTGGATTCTTGTCAAATCTCTGTTTTCAGTATGTGTAAATTCAACATTGACCCAAGAAGGAATGAGTTCAAGTGATGGTGTTGATGATTGATTGATTTTATTTCCTGTAGGAGTTTGAAGTGCAGCAGAGACGTACTTGCCTTGACAAAGCAGAAACCATGATGAAGGAGCTAACACCTCAGTTTGAACACTTCCTGAAGGTATTTTGCAAGAGTGAACACTTCAGAAGTATTCAAACACAACTGATTGCATCATGGACAAATGTATTTATGAGAAAGAGAGAGTGTTTCCTCAATATAGTAGTTAATTCTGTTAATATTTCATGAATTACATAATTATTTACCTCAAGTTAATAGCATTATCTCAATGATTCCATTTGTATACATGGCACTTGAACTGCTTGGATACCATTCAGTTTTATTTTGCTTTTGCACTAGCAGACATGGCTATACTTTTGGCTGTTGATCACAACATGCTATCTATGACATTAGTTTTGCGATCTCAATTTAGTGTTATGTTTGCACAAATTATTAATTTGTAGTAACCACGCAAGTCATTTGTAATTCAGTAGAAAGTTATCAATTGGCTCTCTATTCCAAATGGGGGAGGTGGGGTGTAGTGCTTGTGGCCAGTCACATGCATTACCAGATCCAATGCAGATTACGTGTTCTTTTTATATCACTATATTAAAAGACATATTACAATATAAATACACAAGTACGATATAAAAGAAGTAGAACATTATACAATAATCAAACTATTAAGTAATTACCTATGAAAAGACGAAAGCTATTATGCTCCTACAGTACATTTTTTTAACATAGTTTGGCGTTTAAGGGAAGGAAACATCTGACATTTGTACTCTTTTCTCTAGATGAGCAAACTAGTGTATAGTGAAATACTAACAGCTAAATTTTAAGTAAGGTGAGATTGCATCTCTTCCTCTATTTATGTGCTTATTGCATTGATTACAGGGACCGCAAACTAAATCTTTCCAAAATCAACAAAAGATATTGAAGTAAAACATCTTATATGGATTACCTTAAGTACTGCAATTGTTTTCAGCCTCAGTACACCATATCTCATAAGTAGTACTAACAAATACAAGGCTACAATTAATACTGACTGCACATAAGCCACATGGAGCGCTACAGATGAAGCAATCAGACGACTTAACTGTTCCTTTTCTTTCAGGGTGGCAGTCCATTTGAATGACAGAAATCGATGAAAGTCTCCAAAATACTGTTTACACTGAGATGCCGTTGGCTTCAGCTGAAGAACAATGGCCTTAAAACAGTCACACCTACACATGTGCTGTGCTTTATGTGCCTTCCATGATTTGTCTGAATAAATGGAGGCATCTTCAGTGTAGGTTTGTGCATAGAAATATGGATTTTCATGCGTCTTTGTTCATATGGTCATTTCACATTTTGTCAAGATTAACACTTGCTATAGTATTCCCTGGTCACTATTTCATCACCATTTGGTCACTTTACGAAGATAAGTTTGTAATTTTTTTTCATTTACAGATTCAATGTTTTTGTAATTTGTGTACAAACAATGATTGGAAAACATCAACTTGTTTCTTTGTTTTTTTTATTTAGAACAACACAAATGTTTTAAGCATTGTATCTGTGATATAGTACATTTAAAATTAAATTATTTCAAAACAGTATATTTAAACATTAAATATAGGTGACATGTATGAAGGGCATCGTCAGCACTGCCTGTGCCTGTTAGGTCTTTTTCTTTACCACCTTCAGTTTTAATTTTGTATTTGTATTAGAAACAATGCAGTTACTGAAATACTATAAAACACTTTCTATGCATAACAAGTTTGCAGACATTATTCATATTGTTCTTGAATAGTAGCTCACTTTTCCACTTGTGGTTCTCCGAACTGTTTATCAGGAGCTTTCAGGTGCCATCACTCTCACTTGAAATATTCATCTCACTAACTCTGTGGCCTGAAAACAAAGAAGGCTGTGGGCTTAAATTTAAACATGTTGCAATACAAACGAAACATGATTCTATGGATCTTGTAAATGTGAATAGTGATAGAGAGGAGAGGTGCTCCCAGATTTTTGACAAAAACTGACTCAAACCATGAGAAATCTGAGGTAAAAGTTGTCTTCATTAGAAATGGGTTCCACACTACATTACTGCATAAAACAAGAAAAACAGTCTGTCCATTTGGAATTGTATTCCAAAAAATGGACCATGTAAAAATGGAAAAAGGTAACAATATCCAAAATAATTTTTTTTTTCTTTCATCTGTCCAAATGTTCAAACATGAATAACATCTCCATCATTAAGCAATATTGTACTTTTGGCCAGCATTTCATTGACTAAAAACAAAAAAGTGAAAGAACATCCAAAGTACATACACATACAGTTTAGTGAAATCTAAAAAGGTCCCCATTGGCTTCATGAGGCAGCATGTGTGGCTGTCAGAGAGCTGTCTTGGTCAGTCTTGAGGATTGGGGGTGGTGCGGTGACCTCTACCATCCCTAGCCCAGTGTGAGGGACACTAGTGTTCATAATGTGTCTTTGTAAATGTTTTATCCAGTCCTCCTGGACCGACAAGGGACCCTGGAAGACGAGGTCACAGAACCTGTGAAATGAAGAACAGATAAGTTGTTGTTTTGAGCCGTGCTAGCAGCAATGTTGGCCTGTTGGTTATTCCACCACTATTATTACACAATTATTGGATTACAGACTTAGGTGGTCCTCTGATTTAGTGGCACTTATAAGGTTGACATTTGTGGTTTTGATTTAAATGTTTTAAGTATACGTTGGATTCCCATGAAATTTGATATAGACAGCAGAGGTTGAGATTTGGCCTCGAGTCCGACTTAAGTCGCACACACAGTGACTTCAGACTCGTCCTCGAAAGACTTTAGACTGGACTCGGACTAAAGGTGCGGGGCTCGTGAACAATGTTTATTTTTAGGAAATGTCTGATAAGCTTGCTGTTATTCCCCTCCCTGAGTTACCTATAACCTGCCTACGTAAAACGTAGTATCTGCTGCGTGCGGCCACACGTGAGCGAAGACAACAAACACCGCAGCTGCTCCGCCATTCATCATAAACTTTGGCTTTAAAACTACATACAACAAGACCCAAACAAATAAGTGCTGAATGCAAAATAGGTTAGTAACATTAACCTGAGGTTAGTAGGCCTAAACATGTTTAGCTCAGCATTGGCCATCTAACGTTAGCTTGCTTCTTGCTATAGCTACGACCTACCGGAGGTCAACTCCGACTGTCGTTTGTTATGAAAAGACGAATGAGCGTTTGTTTGCTGCCAAACTTGTTGTGGTCGATTAATGTAATCATTTACATTCCGCTGGCTGCCATAATGTTAATTATTAACGTCGGCTGCAAACAGATTACGGGTTTATTGTTGATCATGTTACATTACAGTTTTATTTAGTTATAACGTTACACTGGTTTGACAGTCTGGGGTTTGTACTGACTAGTTTATAAAGCTGTCATTAGTTGTATACGCATTGTATATTTGGCTACATGGCTGTGCTCCGTGAAAAACAGGTTACAGGTTTATTGTTGATCATGTAACATTACACTGGGTTTGAGAGTCTGTGGGGTGTGTTGACTTACAGTAGGCTAGTTAATAAGCTGTCATTAATTGCATCGCACATTACATGGCTATGCTCTGTAAGTGGAAAACAGGTTACAGATACAGAATGCCTTATAGCTGTGCAGTTTTACAAGCAGCCTGGATTGAACGTAGCAGGTGATCCAACATTCATTATAACCACGAATGACTTGAGACTTGACTTGGACTCTAGCTCAGTGACTTGTGAGCATCTCTGATAGACAGTCATGTCCCCCTCAGGATAAAATGTAATAACTTTGGTGATCCCTTAATGTTTCATCTAGCACCATCATCAGGTCAAATGTTTAATTACTCCAATATGTTTTAATAGTTAATGATGAAATACCTTTAAAAACAAATGACATTTCCACCAGATTCAGCTGTACATAGTTTAGTGCTAATTAGCAAATGTTAGCATGCTGACATGTTAAACTATGATATACATGATGATGTACTAAGATGAACATCATATATGCTAAACATCAGCATAGTCATGCTGTCATTGATGTTGGTATACTGATGTTAGAATGTAAAAACAAATACACTGAATTTTTTTTTACTTTCATTTTACTTTTGACAACAGTAACTGCAATAAATGCAGATGAAAACTTTGCTCGATCACATGCTGTGTCCATTTACTATAACATTCTGTGCAACCAATTTGCTTTAGATGGCCTCTGCCGTTTTGCTTTTGTTGTTTGTCTTCACATTTAGTTGTCCCAGTAAAGCCATTAGTCTTTTTACAAAACTGGTTTGTGACATAATTCCACGCTCACAATATCTGGAGTACATCAATGACATCCGGTCTCTCAGTCATTTATAAATGAAAATGATTGCCACAAGAAACATTTGACAGTGGCCCAAATCTGGTTGCCCTGGGCAACAATCACTGTTGAAGGCTGTTGGGACTGCAGATGCAATATTATCCACCATTTAAAGAGAATAATATGTATATTATAAAAGAAATAAAAGCATTACCTGCAGGTGAGTCTGTACATTTCCTCTGGAGTCTGTGGTAAGGGCAGTGTTTTTTTCTTCGAGCCAGGCCTTGAGCGTTGTCTCCTTGCTTTACAGTCAAATGCTGAAGGACAGAATTGACTATTAATTTACAGCACTATGTTTGAGATTACAGCACAGCCTTGCTAATTTAACATTGTAAATGGACACGAAGTCTGTGATAACCACTGGAAGGTTTGGATGTTGTTGTTTAGTGATGATCCAACAATTGCATATTTTCACAGTCTGTCAGTTCAGTAAGTCAGTCAGTTTGGATGTCTGGACATTACTAACCCTCCTTCTATTCACTCATGTTTTGGCCTTGTGCCAGTGGGATGAATGGTCTGGCTCCGTGTCTCATCTGCGTTGGCCAGTGCGGTTAAGACACAAGGCCCATGCAATAAATGATGATCTGGGCCTGCAGGAAAGGTAGGCCCTGCAGGATTTCTACAATGAAGAGGTCGTTCAGCCCACGTGTGCACCCACCAAGCTTCACAATTAAAATCTGTGCAATATTTCACTTGCTGACATCCTTCTAGATCCTTACCTTGGGGAGGACACAAATAACCACCGCTACACTAATTATAACTATGATTTGGACCTCACAACCTCTTGTGGTATCTAGCCACACTGACAGTTCTGGCTTTTTCTGATGAGGTTTTGAGATATCAGTTGCCATACCTATACAGTGGAGGTGAATGCATTTTGTTTGATAAAAACTGCTGTGAGTAGAACAAGAAACAGTGACCAGGCTACTCGGGTACAATTTACCTCCTGCCTACCTGATCAGATCAATAGTTTTTGTTCTGATCAAGCTCAAGCAAGATCAAGCAAATAAGGTAACAGCTGAAAAGTCTGTAAAAACAATGTAATAAATAGTGGTGAAAAGTTATGAAAACTACTGATGGTCAGGTTTATAGATTAGCCTAAGTAACTAGGACATTATTTCTGTAAAGACACATTCATGGTATCCATGGTACTAACATGGCTCGTTTTAAATCAATATCCTCAGTTAAAGGTATCCCTGTGGAGTTTTTGACAACTAGTAGAGCAATGGAGCAATTTTTGCGGGGTCCCCATTCTGCACACAGGAGATGTGATACACATTCCTGCTAATGGTTTTATACTTACCCACTGATTGACAGGTGGTGGTGGTAACACAACTATGCAAATGTTTTATGAGGAAGGAAATCTTTTTTCAACCCGTCAAGGATACACATGATGTGCTTTGGTGACAAAAAGTGAATATAAAGATAACCCCATTAGAAAAGTTGATATAATGTGTACTTCTTGGTAAGGTGCATGTGTGTACCCCAAGAATTCAGGTCAAGGGACGATTTAAAAACTATATTGCTAGAGTGTTGGAGTACTTGGATCCTTTTTAATGCAAGGAAGTTATGAACCAGTATGAGTCGCTAGTGCAGCAACAAAGATGATAACCTTCACTGGTTTTCTCTCCTCCCAAAATACTGCATTCATCATTTTCATTGGAACACACAAACAAGTCAGAGAGATCACTACCAGGAATGGAACCTCATGTCTCTGCGGTGGTGGAACGGGATGACAGTTTTAATTTGCTGAGCAATGGTCACACTTCCACACTGGCACAAACTAAAAGTAAGTTAACTAGCTTAAACCAATAAATAAATTAAAACAGCTTTAAGGAGAATGTATACCTCAGACTACTACTGTGCTTTTACAGTGGGTGTTTTGTGTTTAACTTAAAGCTGGGGTAGGCACTTTATAGCAGAAGCATTTTTTGTCATATATTTGTTCTGTGCCTATTGCAGCACTGTAATAAGCACGGCCAATCTTTCGGACCGAATGAAATTATGTTTTGGGGGAGTGGCTTTGGAGGGAGGCCAGATAGGAGGGGATGTTTTTTTGGGTAGATGGTTTCAAAATCAGTGTCTCTTGCTAGATCTCCAACATTGCCTACCCTAGCTTTAAGCTGTTGCTGATA